ACATTTTGAATAAAGCTGAAGAATACATATGTTATTTTTATTTTGTTAGTGTTTTCTGAAAGTTTATCTGTTATTTAAGAACACACACACACACACACATTTTGAATAAAGCTGAAGAATACATATGTTATTTTTATTTTGTTAGTGTTTTCTGAAAGTTTATCTGTTATTTAAGATGTCCCCGAGTAGATTTCCTKAAACAAAGTATATTTTAAAAATATCAGTAGCAGACTTTTTAAAAACACACATTGCTTCAGGATATGTGCCAAAGACTCCTCAGTCTGCTGTCTGCAGGGTCCCCAACCTTCTATGGTCATGTTATTGTAACGCTGCAGGCTGTTCAGTACATGACAGAGCTTAGGTCGCATTAATAGATACAATACAGACACGCTGTATGACAAATCGCTCACTGTGCAGATTCTATAATCAAGAATAAAATGTGCTTTAATGCTTGGTGTTGTGTCTGTGACTGTTTGCAGTGTCAGACGTGCAGTACGGGCGCTTGGGCTCGAACGTGACGCTGGAATGTGGGAAGTCAGAAATCGGGTGAGAAAAACAAAACTAGAAGTTTATCGGAGGGATCTGAGTTTTTGTCCACGTAGCTGCTTTGAAAATGTGTCCAACTACCACAATCATGGAAGCTGGACAGAGTTTTTAGTTCATCAGTCTTCAGCTTTAATAACTTTACTGTTATGTACATGTGAACATTAGATCAAAACAACACACATGATTTGTAAATTATTTGAAGATTTACATGTGAAAATGTCTCAACATAATAACTGAAACATCACATGGTCCTGACCAGGATCCCTGTGGAGTGGCGCCACAACCACAGCTTAGTGTTGCCGTGGCACAAAGTGACATCAGACGGGCGACTAGTCCTCTATCATGTCGACCAATCGGCACAAGGCAACTACAGCTGCTATGACAACAGTGGGATCCTCCGTTCCATCAGCCTCAGGCTGGGCCGTAAGTGATGATGTGACTTCTTCAGGTTCACATAAAATATTTTGGCCTTAGAAGAGTTTAAAAGTGCTCCAGATCAATGGTTCAGTTTCGTTCAAAAATGTTTTTGTTACTTTCTAATTGAATTAAAATTTGCATCGTATCTAACTATTTTAATGATCTTCCCAACATTTAAATTATATTTTTTGTTCATAAGAAGACTATTTATTTAAAAAAGTGATAATCAGAAAAGAGGTTGTCCTTGTTTAGAGGAAATAGATTATAGCAAGCATTACAAAGCCCTCTGCTTCCTGTTACTGTCTTATACAGGAAGGGGCTTCCGAAGTGAGCTTCCTTCAGAGTAATATGGAGTTTAGTCTTGTGGTGGCCAATCATGTCCTGACGATTTTAATTTATAATGGGGACAGTAGGGTACTTATGCCCAAGGACAAGCCTTGTAATATGTTCTGGAAAAAAAAGGCTGTTTTGTATTGAAGTTAAAGTTCTGTCTGCTGTTTCTCAGATCCCCCTGGGCTGCTGAGTATTTCCTGCCAAGTGCCCAATCACACACACGTTCGCTGCTCCTGGAGGGAATCTGTAAAAACCTTCCTGCCAGCCGGGTTCAACGCCTCCTTCAGGTAAGAGCCAGTTACTGCATCTCAGCTGTCATACTTAGAAAAGGCAGTTTAAGCCTTCCCTTCAGCTTCATAACATGATAGTGTTTTGTCATTTTTAGCTTACAYTTGTTTTTTTACCCGAGAAAATAAAATACTTTTACATCTTTGCTTTTCAAGAGGGAAGGGTCAGGAGTGGAGACCTTGCATCGTGGACGTCACCCACAGGCACTGTGATGTACACCATCCTGCTTTCTGGCAGACCATCCACATGCTCAGAGTCATTGAGACGAACGCTCTTGGGTCCGAGACAACATTGGCCCAATTAAAGCTTCATGAGCTTTGTAAGATGACATAAGGGAATGGGGAAAAGTTTGATTTGACATGCAGAAAAAAAAGGATTTGCTTCAGGGTAATAAATCAAAGCTAGTTTGAAAAATAATAAACTGACACAGGAGTTATTTTCTTAACATGTCACATACAAGAAAGACTCATTGGCTCAAAGTTTACATATCAGACCTTACAAAGCCAATAATTCAACTGGTAATCCATCAGCTGAACAAGTGCTTTTTAGCTATTATTTTCTACTGTTATGAGCTGTCTTTACACAAACAAGAGCAGTGAGTAAATTATGGTTTAACTCTGTTGGTGCTTGGTGATATAATTTTTATCTGCCTGTGCTTTCTTTGTAGTAAAACCTGATCCTCCAGAGTCGGTGTCTGCAAAAGAAGTGGAGGGTTTTCCAAAGAAACTTAGGGTCACATGGCACTACCCTTCTTCCTGGCCACAGGAAATCGCTTTCCCTCTTCTTTTTCACATCAGATACAAGCCTCACGGTTCTAAGCTCTGGTCTGAGGTTAGTAAAACATAAGCTCTTTTTGTTTTATTATTAAAGGAGGTGAAGTCAAAAGTAAGCCTGAAGTTTGGCGCAGTGTAAATAATTTTGATAAACTCATTTCAAACTAGGAGGAAATTTACATTGACATATAAACACAACACAACACATGTTGGTCACATTGTTCCACTCATTTTAATCTTGTTTTCTTTTACTTATAAAGTAAGCATCTCAACCCTCATGCTAATATTTGCTGCAGCATTGTATTTGTGTGTGTATGTGCACATTCAGTGTCATCCCTCTGTGTTAACAGATTTTCACAGAGGACAATGCAGTTGTGGTACCTGACGCCCTGGCAGGTCACCTCCACCAGGTTCAGGTTCGAGCCCGGGACGAGGTGGATCCTGAGAGCCAATGGAGTGAGTGGACCCAACTGCATCTCGTCAGACCGTGGGAAGGTGAGAAAAGAAAGATAAATGTACTATTAGCCATTTTACTTAAGAACAATTAACAAATGGTAACAAACCTAAATATTTACAATATACTTATGTATATTTAAGGTTGTAACATAATAACAATTTCCATCTACTACATCAGAGGACCATCTGTCCTCACCATCTGTAAAATTCATGGCGGTATAGCAGTTGTTATGAATGCTAAGGTTCATTAGCTGGCAGCCATTTTCAAGTGAAATTGACTCTAAAAGTTATTTAACTGTAAAATATGCACCCAATAATTATTTTCTGAGAATTTCATTCATTCAATGTTTTATAAAATATGTTGCTAACAGGCAAACAAAGTTGACTCCAGTTTGCACATGTGTTGTGTTGGAGAACAATTTTCAGATTCCACCACACCAAATGATTGCATCTGTAAAACTGACTGAGTTGTAGTCATGTTTGTGTTTTCTAATGTTAGTTGGTTGTGGTGGRCATCTTGCATTGGGTTAATTCTGAAAGTTATCTAGTTTAACAACATTCAGTTTCATTGCTATGCAGATGACACYCAGCTTTACCTTTCCGCTAAACCCAATTAATTTCTTTCTCCTACCTGCCTCTCTAACTGCCTTCATGAAATTGGGTCCTGGTTCCCCAACAGTTTTTCTCAAACTTAATGGTGGTGAAACTGAAATCGTACTTGTTGGCACCAAATCCACCATCTCCAAGATAAACATTTTTTCTATTTACATTAAAGCTTCTCTAGTTTCTCCCTCTCCCCAGATTAAAAATCTGAGTGTCATCCTCGACAGTACCTTATCTTTCCACAAGTCAATAATGTCAATCAGTCAGCTTACTTCCACCTATGTAACATCTCTCGCCTTCGTCAATCTCTTACACCCAACAATACAGCCATTCTGGCTCATAATCTGGTCAGATCTCACCTTGATTACTGTAACTCACTTCTTTTTGGTTTACCTGACAAACTCCTCTAAAAACTCCAAGTTGTTCAAAACTCTACTGCTTATATAATCACCAGAACGCCCTCCGTCATATAACACCAGTCTTACAGCAACTACACTGGCTTCTTATTAAATATTGAATAATTTACAAAATGAGATTCCTTTCATTTAAAAGGGACATATCATGTCAAATCCACTTTTTTAGCTGTTAAATGCATTCTGTTATGTACTTGGAGTCTCTAGKAGTGCAGAAAAGTTTAATTTAGTCTCTCCTAGTGCTACAAAGATGTCTTTATATTCTGTTTGTGTCATATTATTCAACCTGGTGAGTTCTCTCTATGTTATGTGACATTTTCTGAACTATTACATCAAATAATCTGYGAAAGAATTACCATATAAGGTCTAGACTTACCAACTACAATTTCCTCATCTTATTTCTCCTCTGGTTCTGGGTCACACTCTTGCTCCAACACTTAAGTCTGGATGGACAAGTCTTCTGTTGTTGACACTTTTTGTTGACACTTTTCAATTTAATTGTAAATCAAATGTTTCTGCATCGCCATAAAATGTAACCTGCTCTCTCAAACCGGAGTGGACCGGTCTGGAAGCAGGAGCTGGGCGTCTTAAAGAAACAGTATCAAACCCAGCTGCTTTGAAATCTTATACATTATAATCATACATCTCTTTAACTCCCATTATCTCGCATGACTGGTTATTTACTTATAGTTGTTGCTTGTTTCATTTTCTTAATAGTTTTTATTGTGTTTACCATTCTATTGGGATCTTATTATTGACCTCTGTAAGGGACTTTGGGAGTTTCAAAAGGGGCCTATAAATAAAATGCATTATTCTTCTTAATTGTATATGTATATTCATTAATATTCATTCAGTGGTTGGTTTGATATTTTGCTAACACTACAGAAAAATGAAAAAACTTGCATTTACAATATAAACTCAAACCTTTCTCTGTCCTTCATGGCTAACTGTGTGTCTGTTTCTCCCTTTACAGAAGAGCCCAACCCTGGCCCTGAGGAGAACACAGAGTCTCCTGACTGTAATGGTTTCTGCATAGAACCTTCAGCTTCCACAAAGCCAACCCGTAAGACAATTTTCTTTATACAATTAAAATAAATAAATAAATAAATAAATAAATAAATAAATAAATAAATAAATAAATAAATAAATAAGCAAACTAAGCAACAGTCTTCATGTTATAGGCAACCATAAACCCTGGTAATGACAAAACATTTCTTGTGTTAAAAAGTCAAAGTTTTTAATTTAAATTGGATATTCTATCTACATTTAATTACAATCTTTATATCTCAGTCTGGTTTGGCATCTTGTATTGCGAGCTACAAGCTTCATAGCTAAATACAAAATACAGGAAGAGCATGTTTTACGTCTTGTTTTGGCTGCAACAAGATACGTAATCAGTCATTAAAAGCCGCATTGTTTTCTGAACCACTATTTACAGTTATTACAGGCAACCCAGAGCCACGCCTGAACATGATTGGTGTCATCATCAAATTGCATATAATTGCAGGAAATTGCACCTGTAGGGTGTTATGTTTTGTGCAATGCTATTTGTTCTCTGGTTGAAAAGTTAAGTAGATAGCAGCTCACGTGTACAGTACAGCTGCAAACATGCACACGCTCCGGTGGTGGATATAACCAACTTTAGGTTTAGATGGTTTTTTTTTTTCATTAGAGAAGAACCCGTCCAGAAGACCTACACATTTTTTTTTCTTTTTGATTTTTTACCTGGATTACTGAGATGCATCAGGACATTTTTTTTTACTGTTTGGAATCTGCGCTTGCTTGTTATCATTTGCAGATGTGCTCACAAACTTATTTTTTTCACTGAGCAGAAGGATTTTGACTGTTTTTGCTGTGTATTGTTGTGCATGTGTTTGTTTTCTAAAGTGAAATTAGTGCATGTCTGCACAAATGCTGTAACTGCAAATTTAAGATGAACTTCTAACCAAGACTGTACAGTTTTTTTTTTCTTTTTTTGGTTTGGTCTTTCACAAAAATGTGAAATCATTTTTCTTCTTTTTTAAACTCAACTATGTGTTGTTGCCTATTTATTTTTGATGTATCAATTCAAAACTTAAATTTTTATCACATCAACTGTTTTTCTATTTCAATCAAACCTTTCGTTATCWATGAACTTTTTGTTGTGTTGCTGTAGCTTTGTTACATATTTCTCTCCCACCTGCTTGTTTTACTGATGCCCACTTCTTCCTCTTCCCATACAGATGCTGTGAATGGGGATGAAGGTAATTTGGGTCTGGCGATTCTGCTGGTTTTGTTCTCAATCTTTATCCTCACCACCGTCCTTTCCCTCATCTTTATAGTATGGTAAGACCCTACACACACACACACACACACACACACACATCTCAAAGCTGTGTAATCCAGCTGTGAGTGAGATTTTACATAACGGTGTTGCATTTTCTCAGGATGAGACAGAAGCGGACTGAACACGCCACCAAACAGGAGCTCGCCTCTATGGTCAAGATGAAGTCAATCCCAATCTAAGACGACCCTCATATGCAAAGTAATTCTAGAGCAACTTTTTTTTATTGACATGTTTTCTGTGCATGTGYTGTGTCCAAATGTTTAGTAGATTTCTGTAGCTTTAAACCAGTTTTTTTTTTTTATTTACTGTTGTTTTTATCTGTTCGACAGATTTATCTGTAGGTTTAGATGAGAAGCAGCCTCTGTGTGAAGCTAATTAAAACCATAACGTCTCATAATTCTTAAAGAACTCCACGGAATATCCTCAAACGGGCACCAAGCCAGTGAGAGGAGTGGAGGAGTTGATGTTTTCTCTCTTAAGTTTCAAAGAGCTGCTATAAACAACTTAGAGACAACCTCTCAGATAACCAGCCAGCTTGTCATTATAAGGCTGGCACACACACACACACACACACACACACTGATTATAACCCTGTAAATATTTCTGCGTAGTTCCAATCCCACTCTGCTATTTAAATATGCACTTTCAAGTCAGAAGCTAATTAAGTGTATAATTCTCATTTAAATGTGTTTTTAATTTTTTTTTACAGTTGTATTTTCTCTTTCTTGCTCTTCCTCATTGATTCGCTTCTTTTCCTCCCTTTTTTTTTACCAACTCTTCTCAGATTGAGTTGATGCATCAGCCACCTGTCAGCTGGAGAAGTGAGTAAACACAGAGACACCCTGGTTGTCTTATTTCCAGCCCCAGCTTCCAGGATAATCCCGTGGAAGGGGATGCTTGTTTGGATTTCATACCTGACAGCGGGGTGAGTTTTAAAAAGGCTTCCCTGGACATATTCAGTGGTGTCATCTAAGTGAGCTACCCATAAAAAAAAAGAAGATTCAGCAGACTCCAAACGTGCGGAAAAACAGACCTTGCTCTTTTGACTCCAGCAGTGTTTAGTCTTTATTGGACCGAAGGATAAACGCTGCAGCAGGGACATCTGAGTTCACTCACAAATGCTGCTGCTTTAGGCGGGACGACTCTTTGTGCCTTTTTAAGCGACAAATCAGGACGAGATGTGCAGCTGCCAACCAGGAGAACATAGGATTTACTGTGGAACAGCTTGTCTGTCTTCTATCACCCAGAACATTTCACTYTTTTTTAAATTTTGTTTTAAGTTTCTTGGTGAGAAGGAACAGAATCACGTGTTCATTCCTACATCAACTGACTCAGTGCTGTGAAGGAAGCATAAATTCTGCTGGTGTGTGCGTGTGTGTGTGTGTGTGTGTGTGTGTGTGTGTGTGTGTGTGTGTGTGTGTGTGTGTGTGTGTGTGTGTTTGTGTGTGTGACGCCAAAGCAGCAGCAATGCCGGGCATTAGAGCCTCTGCTGAGTAGAGGGGTGGGGTTAGAGAGTAATCTGGGCACATGATCTTAAAGATTAGGGTTCAGAAATAGCAGGCTGGGGGAAAAAAACTTTATCTGGTTTATGACTAATTTTATGTTGCATGATATCATGATAGGTTGCATGAATGATTTTATGTTACATTATTGATCTGTTGTCGGTCATTTCAAATATAGGTAGTATTTTATTTTTTTAACTTTGTGTTTCTTATATACCTCTGTATCCATCCACAATAAGTATTTGTGTGACTGAAAGAAACAGGAGGAGGAGGAGGAGGAGAAACTGGCCTTTCACAGATCACCAGCATTGCATCACACACTTATTTATTATAGTTTTACATCCTAGAGAGTTAAAATCCACTCTAGGTTCCTAATAATTGCTTTTTGTCAAAACAAGTGAATGTTTGAGAAGACACTTAAAGAGCTTAAACAGCATCAGATACTTATAAAATACATTAAAAGCTGAACACTTATTCAATAAAATTGAATAAAACAATTAGGGGTGGAGGCTCCAAAGTGAAATCTGCAAATTAATTATAAAAATAATAAATACATTGAAAGTTCAAATATTTTAAAAAGCAGATGTTATTATAACAATTGACTTAATACAATTAAATAGTTTAAATAAAGTTACGTAAAACCAAGACTACACAAATTTGTTAAATTGTTTACCTTTTACRTGTATGTATAAATTAATTATTGGTTTCAGTTTAGATTTATCAAGAATTAATACAAATTACAAAATACAATTTTACCAATATTAGTTTAAAACCTTCAACTTGTAGTTCAGATATATCTATATAAAAAAGCTAAACAAAATGTAAACATTTTGTTTTACTTTATAGTAAATTAATAGAACCATCCTGCTTAACTGGACGTTATGTCTCTCACTGGGATGGTTGCAACTGTGGCAAGCAGTTTTGTCATATAATAGTTGAGATGGGTTCTTCAAAGTAAAAACCCACAATCTAATCAGAATGAATACTAAATTCAAACTTAACTCGTAATAATTAGAATTCTTAAAGATCATTGTTAGAATTCYGTTTCAGATGTTCTTGATGTTCAGTTTAAACATCGAGAAAGAAGAATGTTTAAATATGTGCAGCAGGGATGGTGGTTAGGATGATTTTTTAAATTCCTGGATATCTGCAGTTTATATCATTTCATTTTATTGAATGTTTAAACAGTTGTTTAATTATAGTTTTAGTATTTTGTCAACATGCTAAACTTACTTTTCCCTAGTGGCAGTTGTCGACATTAAAATATAGCTTCATAAAGTTGTGAGTTTGGTTTGATTGTATGTTACAACAGCCTTCTGTACTTTATTTWGCCCCCACCATCCAGCACCATTTTCTTTTTGTTCTTGTTTTTTTTCCCCTCAAAGCAAACAGATGATGATGCAGAAAGTACAGGATATAAAGGTTAAAGTAGAAGCTGCAGATTTATCTTGCAGCTGATTTCACTTAAAGKGGGATGTTTGTGGACGGGTACTGCGGGCATTAGCATGTGGTTCTGAACAACATGTTAAATGAAGTGGGTTTGGGAAAACTGAAGATATTTTACATTTTTTGGAGAGAGATGGCAGAAGTTGGGATGGTTTTACCAGACACACATAAATCACACAAAGAACTCTTTGATAGTTTTTTTTTTTACACAGCTGCAGCACAATAATAGTCTAAATGTGCAAGTTAAATAATCTTTAACTAGTTAGTTAAAGTTTAAACAATAAACTATGGGGCTCCAAATGGAAAATGAAATGTTAAAAAAATCATTAACATATTTTCATTATTTAGCTCACTTTTTGAGTGTTTAATTTTTCCACTAACATTTTGTGATTTGGCTCACTATTCTTACATTTAGCTATTTTTTTCTAAATGTTAAGTTTTAATGTTAAAAAATATATTTGGAGATTAAATCCTACATCTCAATGGTTTAATCCAAATGTAAAAGTTAAACACTTAAAGTTGGAGTTAAATGTTAAAGTTCACATTCAGGCACTTAGGAATGGAACATAGCCTTTGCTTTTAGTGCTTGGCTCRTGTTATGATGTCATCATCCTGAGACAATAGCAACTGCTAGCGATCCGATGCGCAAAACTGCAAGTTTTATGTCTTGTAGGGGAAGTTTTAGCTGCGTTGGACCACTAGCACTAGCTAAACAGTGAGCTAAACAATGAAAAATATGTTACTGAAAAATTTTTGACATGTCATTTTACACTTGGTACCCCATAAGAAACTGACTTTAGTTTTTCTCACTACATGTCTCAAATTCCACTGACCTTAAAAAAAATGTTTACCTTGTGAGTGGTCAGTACTTTCTTTCTGAAACGCCTTTAGTGCATATTTCTTCTTTTCATTATATTCTTCTGTTAATTCAAACTTTGTCAATTCATTGACTGATTGTGTACGTTCAAGAACACAAGGTGCATCAAAGTCAAACTTTCTCCAGTTTGATGACTGTATGTTCTCTAAAGCTAGCTCCACATATGTTGCATGGATCYCAGCAAAGCTTACTTGTATATTATTATTGTATATTACATTTAAAGATATGTATTGTGTATGTGGTGTTTATAAATCAGTTTTTTTTGGAGCTTACTCAGACATGGTTTTACTCAGTGCTGCATTCATTTTGTGCAACTAGGAGCATTCCTAATTGCCAAATATGACTGAAGTTGAMCCCTCAAGTCAGTGAAGAGAAATAAATACATAAAACAATAAATGAAAAAGTATTAGTAAAAAAGGGAAACCATCATTAGTGACTGAGGATAACCCATGTCTGTTGAGCCACTCCTGCATTGTGTTTGTATGTTTTTTTTCCCAGTTACATGAAGCTGTGTTACTGTACAGTTACTGAGTGAATGATGGGTTTACTCATCTGCTTTTCATGAACATGTTCAACTTATTTTTTTCCGTCACTCAAACCACAATTTGTATTTTAATTTAATTTTTTTTTGTTATTTGTCTTTTTTTTATTTCAAACTCTGTACATTCAGAATAACAATGTATTGAATTTAAATATCCTGCCAGCTCCTTTAGGTGTTATTCAAAAAAAAAAACGACATTTTGCACAGAACTTCTGTTTTACAGTTAGCATAAAAAACCCATATGCTGCAGATTTGAGGAGCAAAAATACTTTTTTTTTCGTATTGTAAAACCAAAAAAGTTTGAGCATTAATAATTTGATAATTTACCCTTAAGATGGGGCAACAATGCGGTTCCATTTATCTGTTCTCTGTGGTTGACRGTCTGTATTTCCTCAACCTGTTGAAAACATTTGTTTCTGTGGACAGATTTGACTCTGTGTCTGCCTGTAGTGTGTGAGAACCAATGGAGTCTGTGGGTTTTAAATCCTACAAGTCAAATTCCACTCAGACATCTGCTCTCAGATGTGTATAGTCGAGGTTTTTGTTTCGTTTYTTGCTTTATGTGTACAACAACAAAACAATCATAAGCTGTTTTTAATTTTCCCTCCTCTTGTAATGGTATGTTTCTGTGAAATAAATACTATTTTATCACATTTTCTTTTCTAGAAACATCTTCATTGCCATTATGATTTCTTTTTGAAGTCGTCAGGTCAAAACAGTTTAATTTTTAAATTTAAAAAAAGAAAAGTAACAAATGGTCCTTAATATACGGATTATTTTTAATGTTCAAACTGCCTTTTGTGGTGTTTTTTTAATGGACTTCGAAGTCTATGGGTTTTTTTATTTGTTTTGTTTTTGTACCTGGAAAGAAATTGCTTATCTAGTGTGCTCACACACATCCTGTAGAGTTCAAACACACAAGGCTTGGCCTCCTTACGACTTAAATTTTTATTGTCCCCATGACCACTATCAGCTTTTGTGAGACCTTTCCCTCACATCTTTAGGGTGAAAAAAAAAAATGCTGAAAATTATTATTTTTTTACTAACCAGTCAGTTGGTGTAAGGTGTAATGCTTCCCTAAAAAAAATTTTTAAAAAGTGCTGTGACAGCAGTTTTTACTTGAGTGGCGGGTCTGTCAGACCAACCTCTTCCTTCCTGCTGGATTCAGGATATTTCCAATTAGCAGCAACAGCTCAGCACAATAGCTTTCACTGACAAAAATAATAAACACTGCAAGTACTTAGTGAGTACTGTACAGGTCCTTAAGCCTCTGTAAGTGAGATTATGTCATGTGGTTCTATTAATGCATGTGTCAAACCCAAGACCCGCAGGCCAAATGTGGCCCACGGTTGACCCCYATCTCTCCTCCTTTTACTTTTAATAGTATTTCTGTATTTATTTCMCATTTAGTCAGTTGTACACGGTGCTTTTCAGTGTTTATATGTGGTCGTGTTAAAACACTTTCTCTGCAGAAAATACCACAGAGCTCAGTTATTGTTAGCAGTTCTCAGCCATAGCAATGAGACGAGGAACATGTTTTGTTGAAGTTAAACATGAATTGTCAAAGTTAATTACAACTGACCGTAACGCTAATGTGGCCCTCGGTGAAAATGAGTTTGACACCCCTGTATTAACATACGGGTAATTAGTGCCACTTCTATGATTTCCATTTTAAATGGCAAAACACACGTTTTATTGTTGTAGCCATAGTTAGAGGGATAAAAACACAAACCCATTAATCATGTACCATGCTTTAAGTTTGGCTTTGTTTCTCACAAGCCTTGAAGGCAACCTAGAAATTTATAAATATATATTTGTATAAAAATAGAAAAAAAGACTTGTTTTTATATACAAAGAATTTGTTTTATACATTTTATTGAGATAAAACACTTAAGTTATAACTATCTTGGCACTCACTACTGAAAACTTACATTTTGAACAAAAAGTAAAATAATTTTAGAATCCTAAAGTGCAAAAAAAAAAAAAAGCAGCAATGAAGGAGTTTTACTCAAAGTGATGATTTAAAATGAGATTACACTTATTCCACTTAAACAGGGATGAAACTGCTGAAACCTTCAGTGACTTCGACTGTTACACAATTTTTAAAGGTTTTTTGTACCTTAGAAGTGATATAAAGAATAAAAGAAAATTAACACAAATACTATTGAAGTAAAATATTATGCATCAAGAAAACACATACAACCTGATTAACTTCTCACCACTGAAAGTCCTTTTGCAAAAACAAGGAATCAAAGCTATAGCTGCCATCTAGTGGTCAACAATGATTACTACAAGCCTTTCAAGGAAAACCTTTKTTTTCATGGCAGATATACTGATTTGAAGCTGTCCGATTTTACTCAAACCACATCTTTGTTACATTCAAACTACACATTTCTGAAACCCAGCATTAGAYTACATTATGCATATTAAAACAGGGTGTTTATATGAAGGTGTTCAGTTTACATCTGCAACRATGAGTTGGCTTCTAAAAACTCTGTTTTAGTAGCTGTCTTAACCAGAATAAGTGATTCATTGTAAAGAAATAAAGAGTTAATGTTTTTTCTAAATGTTCAGTCACACAGGATTCAAATTTAACAAGCAGCAGAACAATTGAAAAAGTTTTACTTTACAATATACTACAGGGTATTTAAACTAATAGCAAAATGTGATCTGAAAATCTGTGTTCATAGTCATCAAAAATGTCAACAAATGTTTGCATTTCAGCCTCAGCTTCCATATTTCCATACCCTTACCTGGCAGGTAACTTAAATTCAACAAACTGACATTTGAAACACAGCAGAAGGAAGCCACAGATGCAGCTCAACCGAACTGCTGCAGCATCTGTATCAGCTCCGTGGGATAGGATGTGGCATTTCCAACAACACCAAACGGTGATATTTCACAAGCAAACGGGAAAAGCCGCCGTGTTAGGTGACTTCAAGCCTCTGCTCCATTTCTGTGGCTGACACAGTTGGCAATAGAACTCTGATTAGCACAAAAAAAGGCTTTGTCAGGAGAAAAAAAAAAAGGCTTTTGTAATAGGAATCTGCAGATAAGTGCCTCCTTTCCACTAGTGCCACTTGGTGTRGTGTCGGTACRGTCAGTGTCAGAACGGGTCAATTCGGGTGCTTTTCCATTGACGTTCCAGTCCGGTTCCAGTGGGTGTGTTTTGGGCGGTTGGTGGAGGTGGCTTTGGGGTTTTTCAAAAAAAGAGTTAATGCGCAAAATGAGATGGAAAAACATTTGCCGAATAAGTTCTGAAATTTTAAAAATTTGCTAAAATTCCAATTAAAGTTGGATGGAAACACAACTAATGTCACTGCTACAATTGGGAAAAAAAGGCGCCTCGTGTTGTTGTAAAGGCAGCTCAGACTCAACCAGTGACTCCACCCCCTAGCCAATCAGTGACRAACAGTGTTCTGATGTCACATTTTGATGTCAACTGGGACCACTTGGAACCACAACAAAGTAGGTACTGAAAAAGGGCTGGTTCCATGAATGTGGTCTAATGGAAATGGCTTGGAACCGTACCGACACTACACTAACCTTTTCCACTAGTGCCACTTGGTGTAGTGTCGGTACGGGTCAGTTCGGGTGCTTTTCCATTGACGTTCCAGTGGGTGTGTTTTGGGCGGTTGGTGGAGGTGGTTTTTGGGTTTTTCAAAAAAAGAGTTAATGCGCAAAATGAGAGATGGAAACACATTTGCCGAATAAGTTCTGAAAATTTAAAAATTTGAATTAAAGTTGGACGGAAACACGACTAATGTCGCTGCTGCAATTGAAAAAAAACGGCGCCTCGAGTTATTATAAGTCACGAACAGAGTTCTGACGTCGCATTTTGGTGTCGACTATGACCACTTGGAACCACAACGAAGTAGGTACTAAAAAATGGCTGGTTCCAAGAATCTGGCCTAATGAAAATGGCTTTGAAAGGGGCATTAAACACCGTTTTGTGGTATTTACAGTGGATCTGTCGTTCGGCAGAATTTGAGTCCAGTCCGATACAAAAAGCTATACATGTGCGTTGGAATTCATTAGAGTCACAGAGACTAATTCAACCCACAGAAGGATGACAGTGCTGAAGCTGCTGGGTGCAGTGAAGAAGAAAGTGACCCGGTGTGGAGTAGTTTTACAGCCTGTGGTCGAACCTTTGGTTGACTTTTCCTTGAGTGTTTGTAGGATGAGGCTAGACTGGAAAAGGAAATTACAAATCTTGCCTAAAGAATTGTTCAAAAGTTGTCCGATAAGAAGAAAGAAAACCTTTCACAGCTATAAAAACAATTAGAGATAAAAAGYACTCTTCAGTCAGGGGTTCAGATACGTACGGTAAACCACAGAGGGACCTTTTAAAGAATACACTCACGACTGGCACTCATTGGAATGTTCTGTTACATTAAAGATATTCCCTTTCTTGAAAAGCATCAAACAGTTAGCGTTAGTTTCACATAAACTGAAAACCACATATTTCAAGAGCTATACATAGTTCCCCTTCATATTTCAAGTATTTAAAGGTTTGAAACCTGTCGTCAGACGTCACCTAAACGTCGATGGCTACTCCGTGTTTCGTGGAGATCATGTCCCTGGTCCCGGTCAGGTACATGAGCACCGAGCAGAGGTGGGGGAGCGTCGCCGTGGTGCTCACGTACAGCCAGTAGGGGACGGGCGCGGTGTTGCCGAACGGGCAAACCCACAGGCCGTGGCGGACGGCGTCCCGGACGTGGTGCGTGGTCATGGAGATGAAGAGCATCCACGGCAGGGAGCACCAGGAGTCCTTGAGGCGGCCCACCCACATGAGGAAGCGCAGGGTGAGGCAGATGACGGGGATGAGGGAGGAACAGTGGAGTGGGGGGCGGTGTGGGAGCGAGACGGCAGCCTKAACGGACGGAGAGAAAGGGAGTCATCAATCAGCCTCTCAAAACTTTAAAACAGGGACGGAACGGTTCATTCAAGCCCCGATTTGATTTCATTATTGATTTTAAGCTCATAATGATTATTTTAAAAAAAATCAACAAAATGAACTGTAGCCATTTTATATCCATTTTTTTCTCTTTTATAGGGCTCCATGATTAGTTGTAACATTAGATTTTATTTGATAAACGAATATTTTAACTGTAAAATAAAGACTGTAAAAATACTGTAGG